ATGAATAAAGTGTCTTTTAATTAGTTATTTGGCTTGCAGAATCTAATGGTGTAATTATTTCAGTGAAAATGCATATATTTTAGGATATGACACAGGTTATTGCCAAAATTAAAGATGGCCGCCGCGTGATTCGTGCGCACTATTTCTCGTGTAGAAAAGAGCAGTTTTCTCGAATTTTTCGTGGCAAATTTCGTCATTAGAGTGCAGAAATGTGCATTGCACACGCGAGATGGATGTCCGATAGACGTCTGGAAATGATTGAATTTTTAATCGGTTTTGTAGAAAAATTGTGCAAATGCGTGGGTTGTCGTAGCCATGGTGACCAGGCAGCTGCGTTTGAGAGTTGAGGGGTACCCGACAAACATGGTGGAATTTCGCATCATAGAGCTGGCAAAAGTTTCGAGTGAAGATTGTACGGTTAATGTGCAGTGATTTTGCATGAATAAAATGCATGCTGCGTGTTTATAGCAACTGTTTACGTATTTTTAATTATTTTCTGTGTGCTGCTCATTCAGGCCTGCTGCCTATGGACGCCCTCTACTGTTGGAAAACACCTTAAAGTCAGCCGTGGGGTGAGTGTTTACGCTATAGAATCACCGAAAAACGTGGTTTTCGAGAACTACTTTCAGTGCAGAATGCAGGAGAGGCATTTTGAACGACTCAGTGAGCAGCGAAAGTTAATTTTTTTGCACAAAATACTCGAAAAAAGTGTAAAAAACCAACATGGTTGCATGATTTGGACGGGGGCATGCTACAATTCTAGTACTAAAAGTAAGACGTACGGCCGAATTCGCTACAAAAAGGTCTGCGTGAATGATTTGGGCAATGAAATTGTAAAATATGCATCCTGCCGAACTCACAGGCTTATTTACGCCATCAACTGTGGTCGTATGCCCGATGATCTTGACGTATCGCACAGGTGTCACGAAACGGGGCGCTGTGGGCTCATGTATTGTACATCCGTCTGCGCTCACACGAACACCGGTTCGCCATCGCGGACGTACCTTTCGTGCAGCATGGCCTTTAGCTGCCTGAGAAGCTCGTGATTTTCGCGCATGGCTGTCTCCGCAAATTCCTGCAGAACGGGTGAGAGCTCGTTGACGGCTTTCTGCATCGTGATGGTGCTCGGCATCGCTACGTCGAGGTGCGCTAAGACATACCGCGTATCGGTGACAGCACCCCCGAAGCTGCTGGCCGCCACTGCGAGCCTCGTGTTCGGAACTGCCGGCCGTGGACCCTTCGAAGCGCCTGTCCTCCTCTCCCCTTCCGTGTAGAGCTTCGTCGGCGCACTCTTGTATTTGCACCCTTTGCACGCCAGCACCCCTATGTAGGCTGCTCCGATGCTCTTGCCAGCCAGATAGAGCACGTGTCATTTACGAAGATAAAACATTTAGGCCTAATTGATATTTATAATCCCGAGGCGGCCATCTTGGATTTTCTATTGTTATGGGTGTTACGGAAAAAATCCAGCTTGGCACTATATCTGAAATCATTTAACTAGTGTACTCGAAACATCATACATGCCAATTTTGGTGCTTTTATTATAAAACCCACAATTTCTTCTAATATTTACACATATACCTGCCCCACTATTAGAGGACAAGCGACCATTCGCTACCTTCAGCGACGATTTAATAGGAGCGGAGTAATTGTTTGTAATGAGCTGTCTTGTACTTATACGCGTTAACATTGCGCGCCAGCAGGGGCGACTAACACACTCACAACACAAAACACTAAAACACAACTCAAGTTAGCAGTCGCCTTCTTGTGCAATTCTATAATCTCGTAATCTCGTATTGGTAGCCCATAACTAAGGGACTCGAATACGTAGTTCTACGTCGTCCATCGGATCGGTAGAAGACACCGCGAACAGCGGAAAAGAAGACTTCAATGTCACAGTTTACTAAAGATGATAAGAAAGAGTTTCATTTAAGAATTACCGAAACAATGAAAGCAAATTCGAATCGGTCCCTTGTAGATGAATTATTAGATTATAGGAATGTTATATCTACGTGCATAAACAACAGGCCTTTCTCACGTTCTCTTTTACGCTTATACGTTCTTCGTATAGTACACGTATACTCGCTGGCTATCGGGTGGGGATTTTGTCTATTTGTCAGCACATTGTTGATTCAGTTGTATACGAATGCGAATGTGTCCGCCGCTGCCTTGCCACGCGAGATTCGGTTACGTACATTACGTAACATGCCCGAGGAAAACGATGTTATTACAGCACTGGTCATATTCCGCCGCAAGTGAAATTTCCGGTCGTACGTTTTAGTCTGTATCTCCGGATTGCGGGTGTATACGAATACACTACAGACAGTCGACAAACGTGCATAGGCCTACACTAGCTATTATAAAAAGCTGCGTTTGATAGCTAGAGTAGATGCAGTAAAATCGGTAAAATTTCTGAAATCTCACGATGTAAACAAACTCAAGTCTATGAACATAATATGTGTTGCGTGCAATCCAATTCTGCCCAATCTACGAATCTGCCGACTGTGTGGCAGCCTCATTGAACTGTAGCACATAAAACCCACGCTGATAAACCTGTCTGGTAAATCGGGATCCTCTTACCTCTTCTTCTTCCTTCTTTCTTTTTTTTCTCTCATTTTTGAATCTCAGGGGGGATATTTGTACAGGCCATCCCCCTTCCTTCAAGAGCAGGGGGGAATGCATCTCCCCATCCCCCCGGGATTTACGCCCGTGTTAGTGACTGCGGAGCGCTGCGCATAGCGCAGCCGCATAGCGCGCGCTGCACGGAGCGGGGACGCGGGGTGCTCGAGTTTGAAAGAAAAATGAAAATAACGCCTAAAAATACCGCATTTCCTTGCACATTTTTCTATATTATATCATATTTTACTTGTTGTTGTTTCATTAAAATCATTATGATTTGGGCAGAAGAAAAATTTGTCATCATACATTCCTTGGGTACTCACACCATTTATTGGCTAATAAGGCCGACCAAAAAAATACCTTTGGTTCGGGTCACCCGCCCGCTCTTCACATTTCGGAGTGAAAAATGTGCGACTGCGGTCACTTTTAGAAAGTTTCAAAAAAAAAAAATTCATATATCCGACTCTTGTCATTTTACTTACCTAAAGAGAGTTCCAAAATATTTTTTATGATGAAAAAGATGCAAGAAAACGTATCGTAAAACGCAGTTTCATGCATGTTTAGAATACCGTCTAGGATGGTAGAAGTAGAGGATATCTTTTGAGCTACGCGATTGGCTGGACTGTTTACAAATACTAAACGTAATAAACAAGATAATACCGGGGCCTTCATAATAATAAGGGCCCTTCTGTTCTCTCTCCCTCTCTTTTCCCTCTTTCTCTCCCTCCTCTCTCTCTCTCACACACACTCTCTCTCTCTCCCTTTTCTCCTCTCTTTTTTTCTTTTTTTAATGTTTGTTTGGGACAGAGGCAAGGGGGGTGTTTAACACCCCAAACATCTCTCTCTCTCTATATATATCTTTATAACATATATCTATATATCTCTAACTCATCTAGCATTTTTAAACACGGTACTGTTTATACCAGTTCTTCTTGGTGTGAAAGCTAGAGTTGTCGAGTTCCATAATTGTTTCTCGTGGACACACACGGCTCACAGGCGCATACCGATCCGCTGTGGATTCCTTTTCTACCTCATTATTTTTCTCCTTCTCTTCTTCTCCTCTTCTTTCTTCTCCTCTACCTCCTTCTCCTCGATTTTTTATGATCGCCGTCATCGGCAATCTCGATCGTCCTCCTCTTTTTCCCTCCTCTCTCTTTTCTCCCCTCTCCTCCTCCTTCGCCTCTCCTCCTCATATTGTTGTTATAGTCGTCAGTATCGACCGACGATATTTACTCATTTCTATCGCCGTCGTTGTCGTCGTCGCCACGGATTGTCTTCATCTTCCCACATGCTGTTTTTTGTCTTCATCATCGGCGACGGCGGGAGAGCAGCCTTTACCACGTCCATAGTCCTGACCGTCTGCAGGTCGGTCGCTCGGCACGCGGCGGCGGCGGGGGGGGGGGATGCTAATGCGCGTATCCAACCTGCGTCAGCTGCAGCGCCGACGTGTGCGCGCCGATGCACGGCCGACACAGGCAGCTGCTGGGCGCGGCGACGTTCACGACGACGTAGCGATGCCGACGCTTATAGCAGGTGAGTTTGACGCGCGCGACGCGCTGCCCGCTCTCCTGGCAGCACTTGCACGAGCGCTCGACGTGCACGGAGTTGGGCACGAGTTCGATGAGGCGCACGTAAGACGTGCATGTACCGCCGCAGGCGAACGACGCGAGGGGGTAGAGCCGGCAGCCGGGCACGCGCACGACGTGCAGCACGCGCCGCAGGCGGCACTCGGAGCGCGTGCCATTGGCGACCGTCGACGCACGAGCCGAGGCAGCGGCGTAGACGACGTTGCCGCACGCTATCGGCGGCGACAGCGAGCGACTGCCGATGGCGAGGATGAGCGTCAGGAGAAGCATGGGCGCGGCGTGGCCCGACGACGACGTCGGCATCATGGCTGACTGCTGGTAGCGTCGCGTCGTCGACGAAAAGCGATGGGCGCGAGCGACGCTGGAAGTGTCGGAGCTAGCGAGCGGTGGCGGCAATGCGCGCGCTCGTGGCGGCCGCGGCGGCGTTCCTTTGGGCTGACCGAGTGACGGCGCACCACCTCATAATACTCTGAGCGCTGTCTGGCACGATATCTCACGCACGGTTGATGCTCGCACGGACGCACGCACGCAGGCACTGCGGAGTCGCTTCCGTTGTGATACAAAGTGATTACGTTCCACGCGCACACGGAGGTGGACAGCACATCAACGAGGCGTCGGCGATTTTGGCTCTACCTGTCCACTGCGCCGCTTATAACCGACGATCGACGCCGGCGCCAGCCAATCAGCTCGCGTCATCGACGACGCAGACGCGCCAACGCGACGCTGTGATTGGCTGTGGGCCGATGTTCACGAGGGATCGGAATGCTTCGGTGCTTACCGGCGCGAACAGCTGTGGTTGCAACTCGCCGCTCACGGTAGCTATACGAGCGTCTTACATCCAAGGCGACATACACCGATGCACAGAACAGGACATCGAGCCTCACAGACACGACATCGAAAGCTGCACGGGTGAGTGTACTAGTATTTCTCACTTATATTAGCGGCGGGGGAAAAAAAGAGGCAGCGGGGACGGCGATGATGCGCGTTCCCGCGCATGCGCAGATGTGATAAAACGTGTTTCTCTTTCATACGTTGGCGATTAATGCTTCGATGCACGATGTCATACGCAGCAAGAGAGCTAATACTCGGGCGCTACTTAGTGAGTGCAAGATGCATGTCCGTTTAAACTCTTAAGAAAGCTTGAACAATTAATAAGTTACGTTAAGTTGATAGCAATTAAGCGCGTTGATCAACAGTAGGCACAATGTACACATGTCTGCTATATGCGCGTGTCAATATGTGTGCTATGTGTATTATGTACTCGCACGTTTGCGCGACGTTTCATATATGCGTTCCTCTTTGTGTGCGCATTTCAGAGAAGCTGACAAAGCATTCTACAACGGACACGTCATATTCACGCTGAGTAAGTTAATAATGATGCAATCACGCAGGTAGTAATAACGTTCTAGAAGAATCAGAATATGTGCAGGTTCGCTCGTCGGGCGAGCGCACTGCCTATACATGCAAGTTATTGCATCATACATGAGATTGCCCCTGGCTACGTAGTTCATTTTGACATGACATCCGCACCGCAAGTATTTGACACACACGCATGCACGTACGCATGTAATTACATTCACGCGCCCACTTACATGCACGCAGACTTCCACACATTCTACCAAGAGCGTATTAAGAAGCCTTCTTAATACGCTCTTGATTTTACACACACACAGGCACGCGCATGCACACACGAACGGACACAGGCATGCACTCACGCATGCACGTACACGCACGCACGCACGCACGCACGTACACGCACGCACGCACGCACGTACGTATACGTACACGTGTAGCCCTGCTATCAGATCGTGACTCTAACTCGACGGTCAGTGATCGTAGACAATGATGGTCGAAGACGTCTTGTACAATACAGACAGGTTTTATTCAACACATATGTCGCGACATACACCCGCACGTCTGTACGCGCTCGCCACACCCAGACCCTCTCTCTCGATCCTTCTCTCCCCTTTTACACGTATCTACTTATGCCATGCTGTCACGTCTTAGCGGAACCAATACTAGCCAGGCCAGTGTGCTTTATCGCTCTGTATATAATTCCGCCGCCTGGGTGAACGTGTTTGGACATGTGCCGATGGGTGACTGCTCGCTAGTCCGACGGCCCAATAGTCCGAAAGCCCACTAGTCCGAAAGCCCACTAGTCCGAAAACCCACATAGTGTAATTGCGGGCCGTATCCATTCAATAGTAAACCAAGAAATTGTTAATAGAAGGTTTTTTTATTGATATGTATTCAGATCCATGTTTGGAAGATTTTTAGCTTTGTTGGCACAGCGCCAACTTTGGGGAAATTTTTTGGGGAGCTAATTTGCATAATTAACGTGGCCAAATAAAAGTTTTTATCTAATAGGCATAGCATCATATGTGATAGCTCTTTTCTATATAAGTTTCACCCAGCGAATCCATTTCTGATGTTACTTTCGCGATTAATGGTCAGGATCAACCTATAAAGTCAAGGTCAAGGTCACTTCGGCTCAAAATTACCCTAATTTCACCTACAACGGTAACTGACTGAAAATTATGTGTTGCTGTGAAGGTGTATTGAGTCCCCGTATTGATTGTTGATGATAGTAATGATTATTATCATTGTTGATAAATTAAAATAATGCCTGGACCATATGGGGTCAAGGTTACCATATGGGGTCAAAATACAACCTTTTAACTAATGGACTAAATCATGTGTGATAACACTTTTCTACACAAGTTTGACTCAAGGAATCCCTTTCTGATGTTATTTCCGCAGTTAAAGGTCACGTTTAGCCTATAAGGTCAGGGTCAGGATCACTTTTGGTTCAAAATTGACGAAATTCGCTGAATTTCCGTAAACCAAAATTGCCACCATAATGATCATTTTCAGGTACAATGTGATAGAGTGTTATCATAGACCACAAGATGAGAGGCACGGGATATCGTTTAGCCAATTTATTCTGTCACAATAGTCTATCCGATCACAGAGTAACGCATCATGGTCATCCCCCAGGTGCAGAAAGAGGCACGGGAAGTAACGAAATCGAACAACCTCTTCTACGATCTTGGTAACTTTACCCATAGCAACATCATTAGCCAGACCAGCCATACTCTACTGCGTCTCGTATTAGCACTTGTGTCAAATAATGAGGTAACTAAGCAGTCCCTCAGCCTGGCCCAGTCGATCCAAAGTCACATCACTGGCTGCCACAACCAGACCACTTTGGGTCTAGCTGTCAAGATCCATCACATGCACGGAAGCTCAGAATTGATAAAAGAATTGTCGCATCACAGCTATGTAACATAATCTGCGTTTCCGTAAAAGCGCTGCAGCATTTGGGCGGACCAACAGTGTGGCGCTACATCAGGCTATGGGGCTGGAAAAGAGGGGGGGGTCATATCTGGATGTCATATTTGGATGGATGGACAGCCTCGACCTACACATCTACACCCCCAATGGACAGAGGGACACACACGCCATGGCACAGGAATTCCAGCAATCTCATCGATGTGGTATCATAATGAGGGATTGTGCGCGGCCAAGCATATCAACACTGATAATACCCCGTTTTTGAAAAGCTGCAGCTTTACCCTCGACTCCTGGAGCAGGTGATGCCGGATTGGCTCTATTGCACGACACTGGCAAGAAACAGGGTGCACCCACCTGCTCTCTCACATGTGACTAGCGGGCCAAGTTTTAAAGAAGTCATTCATACCCAGGAAAGCCTGCATCGTGCCCAGGAGAAGGATGAGCAGTGGTTGTTTAACGTGTTGGGTAAAGAAGGTGCCACTGATGCGGACCTGATGGCAGTTGGGCAGCAATTCTTTGCAGCATTGTATGGACAACCTGCAGGCACCTCCATGACTCATGCTCGCTACAATCTATACACCCGTAAACGTGGGAAACCACTGCGCATCATGTCACTGCCGCCAACAGACAGAAATCTCTACCACCATGTGCGTCGTGCCCACCCTTTGGAAGGCTGCCGAACATCAGGGTCTTCCAGATGTCTCCATCTCAGAGTATGGTTGGGAAATAAAGGGTGGGATACCTTGTCCTTGCATTGATAGTGGCACACTGGGACCACCGTTTCTAATGAATGTGATCTGCTGATGCTGTCGAGCAATGGGGTGGCATGCAAAGAAGCTAAATGTAGCTGTCAGCGTGAAAAACTCAGCTGCACAAACTACTGCCTCTGCACAGCCGGTGAAGCGTGCTGCAACCCATTCACCAAGAAAGAGGCGGATGATAAGGATTAAGGATGATGAGCATGAGTATGATTATGAATATCGGAGTGAGGATCAAGAAGACGACGAGCTGGAGGGTTGATTTTCAGAACAAGAACATCTGTGTTCAAATCACGCACAAAATTTATGTGTGCAATAGTCATGTTTCTTGATGTTTAAATATCTATTAGTCATTTGATTTCGTCTTAAATATATTTAATTGCAAAACTTGTTCACAAATGTTGGTTGCTTTACTGACTGTCATGTTCATAAGGCAGTAAATGTATAGGGTGGAGTATATTTCACTTAAAAATACGTGTTTAAAATGAATAAATAAACAATAATTATTGTGAATGTTATAAATCTTGATAAATTTTAGTGATTTTACCTTGACCTCTAATGCAAGACCGTGATCCCATATGGCCCATACATTATTAGAACTTATTAAAAATAACAATAATAACTACTTTGCAACATTACCATTATCTACAATTAATATTGGGACAGTAATTCCGATGGTGGCAATTTTGGTTTACGGAAATTCAGCAAATTTCGTCAATTTTGAACCAAAGTGATCCTGACCTTGACCTTATAGTTTAAAACGTGACCTTTAACTGCGGCAAAAAAACATCAGAAATGGATTCCTGAGTCAAACTTTGTGTAGAAAAGTGTTATCGACACATGACTTCTAGTCCATTAGTATATAAAGTTGCATTTTGACCCAATAATGGCCATATGGTAACCTTCACCCCATATGTGCGCAGGCATTATTTTTAATTTATGCAACATGATAAGTAATGCATTACTATCATCAACAGATCAAATACGGGACTGCAATACACCTTAAACAGCAACCGCATAATTTTCAAGTCAGTTACCCGTTTAAGTAAAATACCGGTAATTTTGGAGCCGACAGTGACTCTGACCTTCTGGACTTTATCAGGTGATCCCTGACCTTTTAATCGCGACAGGTGACATCAGAAATGGAATCACTGGGACAAGCCGCCATAAACGAAAATGAGTGCTATCACACCGGCATGATTCTAGAGGCCTATTAGTTACAAAAGTTGTATTATCACCATTAGTATTTACGACAAATTAGGCTAAAATTGAAAAATGTTTCCCCAACCAGTTTAGCGTTGTGTCAACAAAGCTAAAAATCCTTCCAGACACGCTGGAGAGAATTCTAAACTATACAAATTTCTTGTTTGCCTATTCTGGGCAACTGCGACTAACAGGGGAATGGGTACGATTATAGTCTGGAATGGTCTTAAAGTTAATTATATTATTTATTTTTTAACTTAATTAAATTAATTATTAATCGTATAATTTCAAATTTTACTTTTATTTTAATGTTGTTAATCTTTACTTAATTTTTAATTTTAAATTTAACGTGATTGCGGCCATGATACCGAGGCTCGCCGAGGATTGACACTGTGTCTTACCAATCACACGTCTACGCCGCCCCCCTTATCTCTAACTTTTAGTACCAAGTACTATTCGAGCATGGCAATGCGCGGGATCTCAGAACTAGGGCATTCTGCTAGGCTAGAACGGTTTCTAGCGATAGGAGTTTGGCATGCAAAAAACGAAAAAATAAACGTCGTTTAGCGCAAACTACGACTCGCTACTGATTTTCGTTGGGCATTTTGGCATCTCTGTAATAAGCCTATACCAAGCCGCCGTCCTTCTTCGTTGATGGGCATGAATGCGGCGCGTCAACCGATCGTAACACGCGTTTACTCGCGTGTAGTGTGTCGGCGAGACTGTTTGCTTTTCGTATATAATGAAGAGGGGGGTAAGGGGGGTAACTGTTCGACAGTTCACAGTGAAAATAAACTGCTTTTCCTCCATTCAGCAGTTGAAGTAAATCGCGCTCTGTCAACAAGATCAGCGTAGGGATGGCCGGCGCAGAGGGATCAATCCCAGTTTAAACAGCTCAAAATTTCAAAGGACTACAGTAAGATACAGGTCCTAGAAGTATACAAGTGTACTTCTTGACTCAACAACACATCTGAAAACATCATAAAATATGGCTTGCCGCAGTAGTCATGCTTATACCATGTTTGTGGTATGTGTGTGTGTGTGCAGTGGCGTACAGCAGTATTTTTCGAAAAGGGGGGTGTTAAGGGAGCACGCGAAGGGGGGTCTG